TCCTTTTTTTTTGTTTTTTTTTTTTTTTGGACATCACAAGCCGCCTGCCACAAAGAAAACTATTTCGTCATCAGAATCCATATTTTTATGAATGGCGCGAAACGTAATGCTTACATCACAGTTTGTAAAATCGTAGTAAATTCGTGTTGTGTGTGACTGCCTCCGTACGATTTTCGGATAAACTCAATCGTGACGTGCCAGAGATCACGACGTTCCGACCTTCAGAATCGCACCGTGTACGCCCGCCTTTACACTGTCAATAAGCGTGACCAGGGTTGCCAGGTTTTCACAACAAAACCCGCCTAATTGCTACTCAAAACTAGCCCAAAACTACAAAACGCGGTAAGTGTTAAAGTAGCCCAAAAACTTGGCAACACTGAGCGTGACTGATCCTCGAGCCAACTCTGCTCTAACTGTGTCGACTAGCAGTGGGAGTCAGATTGCCCCCTAATGGATGGCTAAAGATTTGTTAACTCATATTCATAAATTCTCAAGGGAATGTCTCTGAATTAACTGATGCTCGCGCCCCCCTGGTTGAAAACCCCTGCAGTAGGCTATATAACCGAGTATATTTTTATACTCAGTTATACTTCAATAGACTGAGCATTTTTTGACAAACGATAACATGCGCATCCCTAAACAAGCATTTAAAAAAATATAATAATTAACTGTTCTGTAGTAAACAGGGCTTCGCCTGTGAGCGAGAATTCAGCTGGTGACTGTCACATGAACAGTCATTAATAATGGATACGGGCTTGGCTTGCGTCTATCGGCTTACAATAGCGAGGAAAATACAGATCATCGCAAAATGACAAATTAGGATTGTTCGCTTGAACAATGACAGATACATTAAGATTTAGGCTACAGAAAGCGACGTTTCTGAGTGTACGCGTAAGGACCTGTAAAGGCTGATTTAGGCCAACAGAGCGAAGCGGTTCATTCATTGACTCGAGCCCGCTGCTGCTGCTGCTGCTGCTGCGTACATCCATCCCACTCAACTCACGCACGGCTGAACGCAACTACCGTAAAGTAACCAGAAAGCACTGGGCCATTTCCTACCTGAACAGCACGAGTGAAGAAGACACCTGCATCCGACGCTAGTTTCTTGACATTAAAATCCATCGTGTCAGCGTTTTCACTGTGTGCGTTTCAACAACATCGGCTTGTTGGTTGTCCCTGCAACGGGATCGATTGTGCAGGACGAGGCTGAATCGACAGCGCAACCTGGAGTTTAATGATCTTACCATCTGTTACATCAGCCATCCTCTACTCAGCCTAGTTTAGAGCTGGATGCTCATTTTAACCTCTCTGTTATTGTGAACACATTGTTTTTGGGAATTGTAACAATTTTCTTTTTTTATAAAGTACTTTTAATGAAAAATAACAATTTATAAAAGTATCCTCTGTGGTCTGTACAGGTAAACGGACCCATATTTTAAAACCCTTTCAGGATGTTAGCTTTCAGTAGTTGTTTCTTTTTTTATATACTAACTCATTCATACTGTTCTGGTTCTAAAGGCCTCCTGGTGGTTTCTTTTCACACAAATTATTTCTTGAATATTCAATTATATATACAATATATATATAGAGAGAGAGAGACTTTGGGAGGGTTTAAATTATATGTCAGTATACACTAATTATTAGGCTAAACCATAAAATTATTAAAAAGATTTTCAAAGATTTGTATTTTCCTTATACTAACCCTGCAACCTATAGCTTTAAACTGCTCATTTTATGACTTTCCATAAAATAAACATTACAGCATGATAAGATAAATGCAAAAATGTCCCTTACTTTCCTCCATTATTATAATATATTTTAATATTTTTCATTTTCATAAAATGTGCTCAAAAAATTCCCGCTCCAGCAATACATTGATAAATTACAAATAGCACAATACAAAAGCAGTTTGAGGCCTGAAAATGATTTAGCATTAAAGAAGAAAAGATGCGGGTAGACTATTAAATATTATTTTTATTATACTGCATAAATATTTCTGAAAACATTTGAATGCCCACTTATGTAGCTTCACATAAGTTTCTGAACGTGACAGACAGCAGGAAGGAAGGGACCCTGCTTTTGTTGAAAAGTTGTAAGTCTCAAAAGCCTTCCTGTCTGGGCAGCTGGTAATCAAATGGTAGCAATGTTCTTTTCAATAAATATGATATATGTAACCAGCATTACATAATTCATTTATCATTTGAAAACATGCTTAAAACAAATGTTACACTCTCCTTTGCTCTTGCATGTTTTCATAATAGGTTTTATCCTTATGCAGTCACTGCATTGTTACTTATGTAACAATTTTAAATTAATACAACTTTTAACTTTTGCATTTTTCATTAACTACAGTGTTCCAACAAGTACTTGCATTAGCATCGTATTTATTTAAACAAAAAGCTATAAAAACATTTGCTCTCAAATGTACATTCAGATCCTTTCCACTGTGTTAACATATTGAGGTATGTATGAGTCAGATGTGAGCACAGTGTGTCCATCCGTCATACGAGCGCTCTTATTTTATTTGGTGTGGTCCTGAACCCACTGGCACAACCTGTGACAGTAAGCTGGAGGACTAACTGTGGAGAATGTTTGTCGTGGGTGTCTCAGACTTTTCCACAGGTGCTCAAGCCTCTTTTTTAAACCATAAACAGTGAAGATGTCAATTATCCCGATGAAGTAACGCTGCTCGGGTCCATCAATTACATGAAGCGGGTTCTTGAAGTTGGGAAGTAGTCTCCGGTTCTGGGCCTGGAATATTTGTAGATCGGCTGACTCTGCTCCCACCATACTGGGTTGTTCAATTTTGTCTTCCTCAAGACTTGCAATGTCCGTTCCATCATTGCCTCTGTGCATTTCTGTTATGTGACACTGTGTTGAATGTAATTCTGAGGAGAGGGGTGTGGAGTCTTCCTCTGCCACCACCCCGGGAACAGTTGGCGAAGTGGCATGTGTAGGACTGGATGTTGCATTTACTGACCTAAGAGCCAGTCAGAGAGGAACACAGAACAGAACAACGAACCTTAACCAACTGAATGATTACCATCTAATGAAAATGTGTGGCTGTTACTTGTTTCTGGGTTGAAGCTCTGTTTTTCTGCAGCAGATTATTTCACCTGAACTTTCCATGCTGTTAAAGGTATAGTTCACCCAAAAATTAAACATCTTACATCATTTACTCACCCTCATGTCCTTCCAAACCCATATGACTTTCTTTTTGTGTGGAACACGAAAAGAGATGTTTTGCCGAATGTTCATGCTGCTCTTCTCCACACAATGAAAGTGAATGGCAACCAAAGACTGTAGCCCATACTGAAGTCATTTGTTAACTTTGTGTGAGGAACAGACTGAAATTTAAGTTGTTGTTCACTAAAAAGCTTGACAGTTATTATTCCCTTTCACTGTATGGAAAAGAGCAGCTTGGACATTGTGCTACATGTCCTTTTGTGTTCTATGGAAAAGACAAAGTCATACAGGTTTCAAAAGACATGAGACTGAGTAAATGATAAAGACTGCCATCTTTTTTTTTGGTGAACCATGAGGTTAAATGATGGATAAATGCAGTATATGAGATGATGTTCAATGAATAATGGAATGGTAGTAGCAAGGAATCGCATAGTTATTATCATAGTTTAGTAATTCATTTTTTGTTATTTCTTTGAGATTACTTTGAAAATGATATTGAAGCTAGATATGATAGCTACATGCCTGCCTGCCAATGGCCATTTGGAGTAGAAAGAGAAGGATCTGGAAACAGAGGTGAACATGAACATTCACAATCAGGGTAAAGCCTGTTATCCTTAAATACTGAACTAAACTAGAGATAAAGAGGAAGCAGAAAGAAACATCTTGAAGAAAAAATTGTCTCTGAACCATGAGAACAATGAAAGCATGAGCAAACATCAGTATTCTGCATTTAAAGGGGTCATATGATGCAATTTACATTTTTTCTTTCTCTTTGGAGTGTTACAAGCTCTTGGTGCATAAAGAAGATCTGTAAAGTTGCAAAGACTAAAGTCTCAAATCCAAAGAGATATTCTTTATAAAAGTTAAGAGTCAACCACGCCTACCTAAAACGGCTCACACCTTGGCTGTCTGTGGTCATTTTTGACAGAGAACAGTAGTGTTCCTTTTTTTGTTTAAAGGGGTCCTATTATGCTTTTTCACTTTTTCAACTTCAGTTAGTCTGTAATGTTGCTGTTTGAACATAAAAAAAGATCTGCAAAGGTACAAAGCTCAAAGTCCACTTCAAAAGGAGATATTTTATTTAACAGAAATCACTTTTCAAAAACTACAACGAA